AGATCTTGAACAATTGTGCACCCTGCTGCCGATGTCTTTTGGAGATCTTCCCGAGCATATGCATGAACATGTCCTCTAATTCTGGAGGCAATTCGTCCACTCGTCGACGAATTTCAGGCAGCCGATCATGATCAGCGAACCCGTTAAGAATAGAGCGGCAAGCAAGGATGACCCAGAGAAATACACCGCATGACTTCTCTACAATTTCCTCTAAGAGCGAACGACACTCATCTGGGTATCTTCTCATATGTTTCATCATTGATGGATGGCCTCCAATAATGTCTTCGGTATACGACTGAATATCGGTACGAGTGAGATCTTGTAGTTGCAGGCGTGGTAGAGACCCGAAAGCCGCAACACATATAGGAATTGGCCTACTGGAAATGACTGCTTTGATGTTCTGGTTTTGTACCAAACTTTTGACAAATGCAATACCTTCCTCGTAGTTGCCTTCGAATTCATCAAGGCCATCAATAAAGAAGCAGGTACGTCCTAATGTCGAAATGTGATTTCCAACCATTTCGAAGGCAAATTTTACTTCGGCTGCAGAAGGCAGGCCAATAGAGTCTTGTGCGGTATCGATTGTCTTTTCATAACTGGCTGACTCCGATTTCAAGACTTCCTTCCACATATTTGGTAATGTAGTCTGGATGAGGGGCCGATTTTCTTTCAATATTTGGTATAGTAGCGTCCTTGCCATTCCTTCCTGCGTTTTTTGCTCGTCTGAGCCAAGATTCGAAAAGAAGAAATTAAAAGTGAAGGAGGCCATTCCTTCAGCCCACTCGGAAAGATTCTGTTTTGTGGACTGGTGGAGGAGGATATATTTCATAAGAGTAGATTTGCCGCTTCCCGCCTTGCCAGAAACCCAATATATGCCAGAACCATTGCGAAGCCATTGAGAGAAGTTGCTCCAGGAGCCAGGGCCGTCTGGAGTGTCCCATATCCATTTGAGGGTATTCTCGTGACGTGAAGTGATATCTTCTCTTCTTTCGTTTATCTTTCTGAACCAAAGGCTGTTCAGAATACGATCTTGGCGTATTGTTTCAATGGCTTGTCTTGATGACTCAGCGGCAGAATGATGGTGACCAACCGATGCCTCAAAAATGATCTTCAGGCGGTCAATGTCTTTTTTTATGATTCCAAGGTCCTCAGCAATTCTAACATCGGTCGCATGGGGACTCTTGCTGATAGGAGGAACAACATTGTTCAGATTCCACGTGAGTCGAGCTAATGTCTGAACAAGGTCCTCGAATTGTTGTTTGTCCGAAATCATCCATGGACTCTGCTGACTACTTGGCTTGAACCCCTCCTGTGCTCCATTGCGGTGTTGGAGAGACCTGAAATCCTTGACGAATTTGTCCGTTCGGGTCTGGCTGAGCCGCATGTAGCTCGGTGCTAAGTCAGAGAGCTGGCTAAGTGTAACTCCCTGCGAGGGTAATGCCGTTGTGAAAAGTTCCTCAGGTAAGCCCGCCGCTATCATGTTTGCGGGAACAGATGCAACATGAGGCTCACTCTCTTGATGCGGTACTTGTAAATTGTTTGTGTTAGATATAGTTGAGCTAATCGTAGCTAGTATGCGAATGATGAGGATTTGATTATTGGAGTCGTCGAGCCGTCTGTCATAATTAGTGCTAAGAAGTTCAACCCGCTCAGCCCACTGAAGAAGGGCAATCCTCTCGAGGTCAAGCATAGTATCCAGTATCTCATACTGCCGGCCTAATCGCCGGCTTTCCTTCACAAATCCGAAAAGATCAATGGTGTGCTTGAATGTGCCAATAAGCTTAGGAAGACTGATAGTGCCAATATCGAAGTCTGGAATCTCAGATTTCTGGATATCAGCATGAGGGCTATTAACCAACTTGTCATCTGCAGTAGCTGAAGGTTGCTTCATTTCATTCAATGATTCAAATTTCGTTGAACGCTCCTGACTCTTGAGCATATCTCTAATCCATCGACGTAGTTCACCACATACAGCCTCAAAACTTGGGTCCTTTTCGTTAATCATCTTTGTCATATCCTTATGATTCTTCCGGATTCCAATTGGAATATAGCCCGGGAGAACAGCTGAACCGTGAGGCACGACCTATACCACGGCGTCAGTTAGAGTCGGAGAGCAATCGGATGGACAAAACAGACTAAGCCGACTCCCGGCATAGGGAGTTCCTCATAAAAGCAGCTGATTTCGATTGGCTTCAGTCCGATCTTATTACGAGCCATGACCATTGTATGGAAACTATCCTGTATTCGCGCAAGGACCTCAGAATCACGCTTAAGTACCTTTAGGATGCCGGGGTTTGTTCGCTTCACAAGGCCCAAAGATTTACAAAAGAGTTCGGCCCATCTAGCCAGTCCAGCTCCATGATGAGGGGTGCCAAGAAAGAGGATGGCAGAAGTCGACTGAAATATACTCTGCAAGTGTCTTTCTGATCGTTGTCTTGACGTGACCAAGGCCTGAATAGCGCGAAACTCCATTAGTGTAGCTCTAAATGAATTGTGGCTGGAGTCATACATCCTCGCAGACTAGCCCTCCTAGGCTATGGCAGACAAAGATGATGGGTCGTTCAGCCTATTAGTATCAGCATGTATCTCCTTCCACCATTGACACGTCCTACCGTGACGTCGTCATCTCGGTGCCTCGCGAGAGATGTAAGCAAATTCCAGGCGTGATTGGCGATCCGATTCTCTGACACTACCCCGCGCCAATCGGCTACATATGCATCGTACCCGAATGTTAACACTCTTGCGTTCGGGATCTTGGATGGAAGAAGAGATTTTGGCCATGGCTCGGATGCGCCGTCGGCAGTCCATGTTCGTTCGCGGTCACCTGTTAGTCCATGTACGAAAACGATGCTGGAGGATGAATCATTAGCTATGTTCCCATTTTCTTGAAAAAAATACACATACTCCACAATATAGTCTTGCACCTCATGCAGGACCTTGATACCGGAAGGGAAGGCTTTTGTTGAAGTACCAGGTGCCTCTATCGAGTCTGCCGACTGCTCATCGCGGTCGCCAGTTGCGAGTTTCTGCTTAAGCTGGAAGAAAAGCTTGCCCATTCTGGCCAGCATCAGAAAGTATCGCTGGCCGGTGTCGATTACGACGTATCTCAGACCCTAGGGCACGATATGCGTAGGCAGCGGTGCAGGTTCCATAACTGAGGAGTAGGCAGCGATCAGAAATTCCTCACGAATAGAACCGTCAGCTCGGGCGAAAGCTGGCACCCAACCAATGAAAATTTGCCACCAAATTCCAGCGTGTCTCCAACGATGAACTAGACAGTGACAACGACATCATGGAGGCACGATTTACTGCTGACAGTTTTCTACGCAATCTCCATTTCATGTCTTTCTTTACTCTCTCACTCGCCCGCCACAACCTCGTCCAGAAGGGACTGCTGGTGTTACAACTGCAGTTTCGAGCCGAAGGTACCGTCGTTGGGCGGTATCCTGGTTAAGTAAAAAAAAACCCCAAATGATAGTATGGCTAGTGTCTCACTTTTTGAACAGGACCCCAATTTGTCGCTATACTAGGGTCAGCAGCAACCAGTAAGTTTCGAGGATCCTGTTTTAAAGGCTGTCATGCTAATATTCGATATTCCTCTATCAAATCAGCCGATCTCTCCACCAGTACCAGCAAATGAACTATCGTCTGAATATAATGTAGAACCTCTAATAGGGACCATAGCACTTTAAATTTGATTTTCCTTGCCAAAATCTAACTATATAAGCTAGGTTTACCCTAAAAATGTAGAAGACATATCCTTGAGGTTGGAAATGGCCTTTCTTATATTGTCTAGAACATTCTTCTTTTTCGAGTAGGATTCTCTCATTCAGCCCGTAAGAAGCTTCTAAATGCGTTTGCGCGCGTGTACGCTGGACACTGATCGTTGTCCGTTTTATTTGGGTGGGGAGGCGGAGTCAAGCTAAAACCTATGCATCCACCAATTCTAAGGAGACTTGCATCTAAACTGTAACAAATCAAAGGAACTCATCCGAGTCATTGAGCCTTGAGTCTCCTAGCAAAGGAATGCTTCCGGTGACGCCGCTTGAGAAGACATTGTTCTTTGAGGAGCGCAACGCACACGAGCCCGAATCCATTATCTTCCTCCACGGCGGAGGTGGTAGTCACATAGAATGGAAAGCTGTCGCCGCACAAGAAACTCTCGCATCCCACCATCTCATACTGGTAGATCTACCGGGTCACTCTGAGTCCCGCAACATCGGCCCCTTCTCACTTGAAAAGGCGGCTGATGAGGTGCACACGGTCATTCAGAATCACGCCCACGGCGGAAAAGCCCATGTCGTCGGCTTCTCGCTCGGCGGATTTGTGGCCCTGAGCCTCACTGTCCGATATTCAAGCGTTGTGCGATCGACGTTTGTTACAGGCTCTTACCCCTATAAGGGGCTATTCAAATGGGCCATTGCACGACCGGCAGTGATGCGTGTTATCAACAGCTTCGAGAGCATTCCAGGACTGACAGGCCTAGGGCTCCGTATGCAGGGAATCGACGGTGAGGAGTGGCTCGTAGAGACCAAAAAGAACAA